TCTCTCTCTCTCTCTCTCTCTCTCTCTCTCTCTCTCACACACAACCTGGTCCCTTATAATGAGACAGCACTAATCTGCTTTGTATTTTTATTTTGTTTTTCCAGTATGGAATTGATGATGTTTCATAAGATCCTCTTACTGTCTCCAACATTCAGCAGGAAGTTATGGTATTTCATGAGAACCCCCCTCCTCTCTCCTCTCTCTCTCTCTCTCTCTCTCTAAATTATCAAGCCCTGCAAAACCCCTCACATTTCAAAGTTCTCTCCATTACTGTCTCGTGTAATATGCGACAACTGACCAGAGAAAACACAACAGTCTCTCTCCACAACACTCTCTCTCTCTACAACGCTCTCTCTCTCTCTAACAAGGCGACAGACGTGTTTGAGTGTTTCTCTCTCTACTTGTGCATGTGGGCAATAAGAGTAGTCATTTCCCATTAGTCACATAACTCAGATGGGACATCATCACTATTCAATACTATGTTAACATGTCATCCTCCTCAATCAACCAAACCGAAATCATAAACACTTTTTCACATAAAAATTAGCAAACCATGAGAGGACGTATCGTGTACTCCCGAGTGATCATATTGTTACTCAGTCTCCCCGGCAAAACACTTACTTAGAACAATTTTTTTAAGAAAAGTGTATAATGAGATTATTTACCTTTCGTACAAGGGTCACAATTAATTTTGATCGTTAGATGTAAAATTGAATGGCTGCATTTATTTTATTGACCATGATCATTAGATATGAAATTGAGCGGCTGCATTTATTTCATTGACAAAACTCAAAGTTTAAAAGAACTTTGATCGAACATTGTGACACGTCCAAACTATCAAATTTCGTATCGGATAGTTATAAATAATTGTAATCTCCTTATACCAAAGCTAAACAATTTCATATCAAATGGTTAAAAATGGAATTTTAATCCAAAATTTTAGAGATACACGTTATGATTATCATGCATCTAAAAAAGAAAAATCATTATTTAAAATGTGATGTTTTAAAGGAAAGTTTCTAGGCCCTGCAAGAGGAAATATATTTTTATTATTTAAAATGTACTGTTTTAAAGAACAATTATTCTTTTTTCACACTTTTTTTTTTCGGGTAAGTCTTTTTTGACACTATTACTGTTTCCCTTTCACCCAATTGAGGAATAAAAGTATTAAGTAGAGGCAAAGGCAAATAATTGTGCCACCAAATTTGAAGTACGCCTGCCTAAAATGTAATGGGACATTTACTAATACCATAAAGTTGTAGACTTATTGCTTTCATTCGAGATAATTATTTCTCTCTCCCTCCTGCCTATTTTTATTTTTATGAGTTTTTTCTCTCTCTTTTTTTCCACTAAAAGAAGTCGTCTTCCTCTGTATTTAGAGGCTATGTAATCTCACGTGCAACAAACTCATTATGCACCATGATTATGTTAAAAGGAAGAGACATGCCACTCCAAGAGAATTCCTCTCTCTCTCATTATCCTCAGTTATTTTTTTTTTTTTTTTTTTTTAGCTATTTCAGATCAACTACGCAAGTATTTACCTATAATGTCACGTTTCAAGAATTTACAATGCTGATATTCTTGAGATGTGACAGTCAAAACATATATACATCTCTTGTTAGGACAAATTTACAGTAGCGAATCCTTACAAAGTAACAAAAAAAAGTTTAAGCGTAACTACAATATCTTCCAAAGTTGAAACCGTAGTTATCTTGAAAAAAAAAATGTTTACCATAGTTTGATGAGTTTGGCTACTCCGTAAGTGATCATCATAATCTTAAAAATAATCATGGTTGAAAGATATCAATATTTTCAAAAAGGGGATCTATTAACAGAAATGCATCAACAGTTTCACTTTCAAAAATGCATAATTAAATATAATCCAAATAATTGAAATGCATATAACATTTTAAGCAAGACATAATTCAAAGGATTTCACAAAATACCCTACTGGCCTCCCAAGTAGGTCACCTATATACCCCATCAGCGTTCTGATGGGTCCACTTAATCCCCATCGGCGTCCCAGATAGGTCCACTTAATCTCTGCAGGTCCACTTATACCTCACCGGCGTACCGGATGACTTCACTTAATCCTTACCGGCGTCTCAGATAGGTCCACTTATACCTCACTGGCGAACCGGATGAGTCTACTAACATACTTAAAGTATTTTTAGATCTCTTTAAACATTCGAAAGCCGCAATATCATGTACTCAATATATCACTGAAATCATTAATATGAATTTTACTAAAACCATTAGTAACAGTCACTTTCAATAACATCTCAAAAATAACCAATCAAATATTTTGGGCTCAAATTTAGAAAGGTAGCAGTTCGTAAAGACATTTTAGCATAATTACCAATCTAATATGCATAGAAAAATTCTTATAGAAATTCAAGAATACGAAATTATCACAATTTATGTGATGTTAATTCGTAAATAAACATTTCACAGACAATGCTATAATCAATTGCAAAAATATCAGTTTTCAGATAATAAGGCAGTCATTTGCATATGAATTTTACAATGTCTAACTATTAAAAAACAGTAGAAAGAAATTTCACAATTTTAGTAAAAGCAGAACTATCACACTTATTTCTAATAATTTTATTTCTAAAATTTTCTAACAATAGACAAGAAAAATAAAAAAATAAATTTATTTCTAATAATTTACAGCATTTAAAATTTCTAATATCATAATTTTATTAAAAAGATTATTTTTCAAAATAATGAGGTCGCTTACGCATAAAATTTATCGTGCCTAAAATTCATGATAATAAGCAGAAGTAATTATTTCATTTCATTTTTAAAAAGAACGGATAATTTTTCAAGATAATGAAGTCACTTACCTAAAATATTTGAGAGGAAGCTTCCGATAAAAATTCGGCTAGAGAGAGCAAAAACTCACTGCGTTTCGACTAGAGAGAGAAAGATCTCAAAAAAAATTTAAGATGGGAGTCCTCGCCTCTCCTATTTAAATTCTTAAGATACCTTATTATTTTATTTTATTAAGTTACACCTCATACATGAGGTGTAACAATTATATTACACCCGAACGTTTAAAGCTCACGTCCACTAAAAAACGTGGCAAGGCAGCAAAAACATTAAATCAAAAGCTTTTGAAAATAGTAACAGTCCCTAAGGACCATCATGCTCATATGAACCATCACTTATTAAAAGTTTATTTTCTTCTTTTTTTCTTTTTTTTTTTAAAATTTTAGGATCATTACAT